GGGGGGGGGGGTGACTAGGGCAGGCCAGGCGGGGAAGCGAAGTAGAAGAGGGGGAGGGGGGCTGCTCTTAAGTGGTCGTGTATATACCTGGCGCGAATCAAATATCTTTCCCCTCCGATAAAACGATATTTACTCAGATAGCTCTGGTTGAAAACTGAATCCCGGATGGGCGGAGAAACGAACAGACATACATATACAGACAGACAGACAGACAGACAGACAGATGGATGAACGGTCAGACACACAGACGTACATAGGGAGAGACAAGCGTTGGCGAGCGAGCGAGGTCGCACTGAGAGAGGAAGAGGCACTTACACCGTTTGCTCGACCCAGCTTGCGGCCGAGTATAAATAACATTGGACAGTTTATCGAACCAACCAGAATAAAAAGAAGAGAAAGAATGGGAATCGCAAGGGGGAAAAAATGACATCAGGCGAAAGGTTTGACAGCAGGGCAGGCAGCGGGACAGCTATCTGGCTCGCGTCTCTTGGGAAGGAAGAAGAGAAAGAAGAGAAACAGAAGCAGAGGTCGTCCGTGCGAGGGAGAGGCGGGGGACAAGGATAAGAGTGGCTGGTGGTTGGTGGTTCGCTCAGTCGTGCCGGGCAGGGGAGCGGATACAGAGACGGGGGAAAGGAAAGAGGAGTCTCGTCTCTAATCCGAGAGTAATTCGTTTTGCCGTCAGGGGTCGTCGTCGGGGAAGAGTCGGGGGGCTCCATAGCAGCGGTTTGCGCGCTTTTTCCGGAGCGCGGTCTCCCGCTCTCCTTTCGCTTTTTGGCAAGAGAGTCCCCAGTCGGCCATAAAATTGTTACCAGCGTAACTCAAGCGCGAGTCAAGAGGGGAGGTGAGGGGGTGGGAGCGAGCGAGGGAGACAGCAGAGAGGAAGGAGAGGTGGGGGGAGCTGCGGGCAAGGGAAGAGAAAGAGAGAGAGAGCGAGACACGGGGGAGAGAGAAAGGGCGTGTCACAGGTGTCTGCTTGACTGAAATCCCCACAGTGTAAACCAGTCGCTACATTACTCTGCAAATATTAAACGCGCAAACGAAACAATTGTTGGCGCTGGACCGTGAACAGCGCCGTCGACAGAGAGCGGGGGTGTTGCGCGTGTGCACCTGTGGGGCCCGTCTCAAAGCAAGCAGTGCACTAGGCGACCCTTCACCCACCCATTCTCACTTATTCCCTCTCCATCTATCTCACTCTCTCCTGCGCACTCACTCACGCAGACACCACTAAAGCACGCCCCGAGCACGCCTCGAGCACGCCCGAGGCGGGTCGATAGGCACGGCCCACCACCCTACGCCCTCGGCTGGGCGGGGACCACCCTCAGGGTGGATCGTCGCGGCCCAAACAACAACAACATCATCAAACAACGGCACACACAGCAGGTATCACAGGTTCACGGCGCGGGTACCCACCTTCACACAGCACTCACACTCCGGGGCGTCTCCACCATTCGTTTTGACGGGCAGCCCTGGCTCGGCTCGGCGCGAGCCACGGCACGGCACGGCTCGACACGGCTCGGCTCGGCACGGGGTTCGGTCGCGACGGGCGGCGGGCGCGAAGCGGCGCGAGGCGCGGTCCAGACCAAGACCAGCGCGGCGGGACGCAGCCTGCCAAGTGAGCAAGAACCTAACCTCTCTGGAGTGTGCGCAACGCCCGCCCCGCCGCGCCCCGCCGCGCCCCACCTCACCGCCCTCCTGCGCATGTACGCGAGCCCCTCCGCACCCCACCAGGCACCGCCCCACCACCCACCGCCCTCCCCACTCCTCTCCCGTCAATGTGCCCGTCTTCCTTTAGGATGTGAATGCGATTTGAGGTGCGGGTTGGGGAGGAGGCAGGGTACGAGCACTACACACGTGTTGGTTACACCTTTAAGGTGCGGGAAGGGGAAGGGGTACGAGCACTACACACGTGTTGTTACACCTTTGCTGCCGAGGCGCACGCAGCTTTTCCACCACGACGTTGCACGGAACGCGTTTGCACAACCTGAGAACAGATACTAGTACTTTATATGTTAAAGCAAAACAAAGGAAAGGTAGCAATTTCTCATACCAGCACTACAACTCCAAAACGATATAATACATTATGACAACGTACACTCTTCCTTCTGTGCGGCAAGTACACACTTGCTGTTGCTGTCCAGGGGTCCAGGGTAGTCCATAGACCCCTTCCTGTATTTCGCTCATAATGTACCGTGGGCATGCGTGCGGGAGGGCTTGCAAAACTTTTTAGCGCAACAAGGGCGGATTTGGTCCTTTCCGCTACATAATCAAAATTCGTTATTACAATATGGTGTTAAAATGTTCAAGGCGATAAAAGTTATCAGCCCCTTTACCATCTGCGCGCCCCACAACCTACCGTCGAAAAGATCTTATTTAGTCGATGGAATTACTTTCAGCAACAGCTGCAACTTCAGAGTTAAATTCAATTGCGCAGCGAGGTTGAAACGCCTGTGGGTAGGACACCGGAGCAGACGCCCGACGCCGAAGCATTGAGGTGTTGCCTACCCGGCGCATCCTCAGGCGCTCGGCTGGCGAACAGAGTCGGGGTACGTTTCAACGGAACGGGGTACGGATGTACTACAGGTGTCCCCAACGCGACCCTGATAGTGGGGGTGGGGGGGGGGTCCCGATCAAGAACGCGCCGAAAAGCAACAAGGTAAGGGCGAGTCACGAGCTGCCTTTGACTGCGACACAGCAGTCTACAGGAGGAAGGCAGAATGGGCCCCACTCCTCCCTCCCTCTGCTTGAGGCGGCCTCTCCCCGTCGCGTCGCCGCGCGGAGAGCGAGGCTGGCGGGGCTGGCTGCTAAAAAGGTTCCAGGGTATGCCGCCGTAGGTTTCCATGGGCGAGCGGAGCTGTCTGTCATCGCGCGGCAACACAATAACAGAACGGCAAACTAGATTGTGGAAGTTGTGAAATGAACTTTGCGGCGCGTAGCTGTGCTGTGGTGTTATTCACTGACACGGACCGCAAAGTTACATCCCGGCCGGGCGGGCTGGTGCCGGGGCCGGGCGGGGCCGGGGGGTAAACAGTAAACGGGGAGGAATCATTTGCATGACATCTTTGTGTTGAGCGCGTAGTTTTCAGCTACATAACATATTCTACGAAATCTTTTCGCGGTGGGAGCAGCGCGCCTTGACTAACCCGCGCTTGCAGTACAGTAGTATACCCCCGCGGGCGGGACTAGACAGAGGGGCGCTTTGTACACCGGCTGACGTGGGCTGACGAGGGCAGCAGAGCCAGTCAGTCGGGCAGTCACTTCTCTGTCCTTTCTCAGGAAAGGGCAGGCAGTTGCAATGCCAGGCCAGGGCCATTTTTTTAGAGATCTGCGAAAAATGCTGTTGCTGAGGTTCTTATGAGGTATACTGCAGAAGACGTCAGCAAACTAATGCATTACATTACATTTTTCAAAAATAAAACTACCTTTTTAGAAACAATTTATTTTAAACTTTCCCTTGAATTGCTATCAGTTAGTAAAAGACACCTTTAATCAGTAGGCTGTCATCGCAACACAACCGCAGTATACTCGCACTGCTACTGCTGTTGCCAAGTGAAACGATTTCATTTTCTTTAAAATGGCAGTGTACACGGCGAACGGGCGCAGCCAGGGTCAAAGTATGATATAACATATCCGCCGCGGGAGGGATTCTCGCAGGGGCGGGTCGGCGGCAGGAAGCGCGGGCTGTGGGCGCAGGCGCAGCCCGGCGCAGCCCTGCCCCCGCCAAAATCAGATAAATCACTTGAATTGAGCAGCTTCATTTTTCCCAAATTGGTTACAAAAACCTTATTTCGAAAAATCGCTGTGCAAAGCAATGTTTGCGATTTAGATAATATCCATTTGTTTAAGAATGTTTGGCACATGAGCAATAAATTGTACTTTAAAAGTTATGCACGAAACTTCTATTTGGATCACAACTATACACTTGTCTCTGTGGATGGATGAGCCGCTGTGCCGCGTGGTTTTACATCTGGCTCCCCCTCTACCGCCATCAATCCTCATCACGGGAGGGATACAATGAGAGGGGATAGTGAGGAGGGGGAGATTGAGAGGGGGGACGGACGGGTTGGGTGGTAGGATTGGGAAAAAAGATACAACACTAGAAACGAGGGGGAGAGAGCAGGGGAGGAAAAGGGGGAGAGGGGGGGGGAGAGCAGGGGAGAGATGACTAGCGCCAACTATTCCGGGGTCGTATGGC